TTAGCTAAAAACAAGGCTCCAGGAATTGATGGAATACCAACTGAACTGTTCCAAGAAGCTGGTGAAGCACTGGAAGTGCTCAATCATTGATGCCAAGAAATCTGGAAAACAGTTTACCTGGCTAGATGACTAGAAGAGATTCATATTTGTGCCCATTCCAAAGGATGGTGACCAAACAATGCACAAATTATAGAATATTATTATTATCATGACATTGGATTGACATCCTGGCTGCAACAATGGACTCAAATAGACAATTGTGAGGTTGGAGCAGGACTGGGCGGTGTTTCCTTCTGTTGTGGATAAGTTCGCTATAGGTTGGAACCGACTCCATGGCACCGAACAACAACAACTTGCATGCAAGTAAAACTTTGTTGAAGATCATCCAACAATGGTTGCAACAGTACATTGACAGAGAGCTGCCAGAAGTTCAAGCTGGATTCAGAAGATGATATGGAACAAAGGTTATTACTGCTGAAGTTACATGAATCTTGGCCCAAAGCAGAGAATACCAGAGAGATGTTTACTTGTGTTTTAGTGACTGTGCACAGGTACTCCACTGTGTGGACCATAACAATTAGATAGTCTAGGGAAGCATGGGAATTCCAGAACATTTCATTGTGCTCCTGTGGAACCTGTACATGGAGGAAGAGTCAGTTGTGTGAACAGAACAAGGGAATACTGCATGGTTTAAAATCAGGAAAGGTGTGCATTGGGGTTGTATCCTCTTCACCATACTTATTTTGTCTGTGTGTGGAGAAAATAATGAGAGAAGCTGAATTATATAAAGAATATGGTATCAGAATTAGAGGAAGGGTTAACAATCCGTGATATGCATACTGACAATCTGTGATATGCAGATGACAACCTTGCTTGTTGAAAGTGAGGACCTGAAGCACTTGTTGATGAAGGTCAAGTATTACAGCCTTCAATATGGATTACAACTCAATATAAAGAAAACCAAATTCCTTACAAATAGAATATGGTAAATGGAGAAAAGACTGAAGTTTTAAAGGATTTTATAATGCTTGGATCCACAATGTTCACGTAAGCAGCAATCAAGAGATCAAGTGACACACCACACTGGTTAAATCTGCTGCAAAAGACATCTTTTAAGTGTTGAAAAGCAATGATGTTACTTTGAGGACTAAGGTATGTCTAACCCAAACCAGGGTAATTTCAATTGCCTCATATACACGTGCAAGTTGGGCACTGAATAAGGAAGATCAAAAAAGAATTGATACACCTGAATCACAGTGCTGGCAAAGAATTCTGAAAGTACCATGGATTGCTAAAAAGAATAAACAAATCTGTCTTGGAAGTAGTACAAGAATGCTCCTTATGAGCAAGGATGGTGAGACTTCCTCTTACGTATTTTGGAAAAGTTATGGGGGGGGGGGCTGTAGAATAAGCTATTAGGGGTAGGGAGAATGTTGATAAGCAGTTTAAATTCTTAAAATCAATGATATGAAATGTAAACACCCACAATTGTGAAAAAATTCACAATTTTTTAAAAGTGAAAAAAAAAAGAGAAACCACATGGCTAGACAAAAGCAATTCACTGTATCAGTTACTGTCCAGATGTCACACTTATTTCCAATGTATTATGAAAACTTAAATCAGAAAATCAGCTTTCAAGAATTTTTTTTTAAAGGAAACAAATTATATTCTGGAATGAATACCAAGGGTGAAATGACAAACCTTGACCGAGAGTCCTATTAATTCCCCAACAAAACATGTTTTACACCATTATTTCAATTGGACAGTTTATGCACCCACTACATTGCTAATTCCTACAACGAAGTGTGATTATTGTGTGTGAGCCGTTAAGGAGCTTATGGTTTAAAATAAACACTACAGATATGGTGAACTTCCTTTAGTGTTTCTTGTAATGTGGAGCTGCTGACAAGTGCGAAAGTATCACGATCCAAGAGGCACATGATTTCAGTCAATAGAACATAATTTTCCGCTTGTAGGTCAGCATAACTAATTGCTGACCAAAAGCTCTGGCTTCAGGTCAGACAGACTTAGTTCTGAATGTTGACTTGATTACCAACGAGTTGTTTAACTGTGGACAAGTGCTTAAGCACTGTGTGCCTCTCTTTCCTTATCTGGAAAAATAAAAAATGCCAGTCTCAGGATTATTGTGAAACTACAATGAGATAAAGTATATAAAGGGCTTATCATAATATCTAACAAACAGTAAACAAAAATGTTAGTTATCATCACCACCACCATTATCATCGCTAAATAAGAGAGAATTCTTGTAGTGTATGCACGTGCGTATATGCATGTGTTTCAAAGAGAGAGAGAGAGAGAGAGCCCACACATGAGAAATGGATTAATTTATACATAACTCACTATCATCCAGTGGTCGTTGACTAATACCAACCCCATAGGATAGGGTAGACCTGTTTCTGTTGGATTCCAAGACTATAACTCTTCACAGGTGTAGAGAGCCTCATTTTTCTCCTACAGAGTGCCTGATGGTTTTGAACTGCTGACTTTGCAGTTAGCAGGCCAATGTATAACCACTACACCTCCAGGGCTCTGAATCAATACATAGAGCTTATTATATAATGAGCAGAAGGGCCTTGAATGAAGGAAAGAACACAGGGATCCTCAACATTTTCTTCTAGATACTGAAAATAACTAAACTTATTTGGAAAACTTTAACAGTGCAAAAAGAAAAGGGCCATTAGATGACATCAAAATAGAAAAACAGACAGGTTTAAGTGTGGTAACTTGTCCGAGTCATCACTGGGATAGGTGATGCCCTGAGAACCAAACTAAATTCACTGCAACCAAGTCAATTTGACCCATAGTTACTCTCTTCCCGTGGAGCAATTGGTAGATCTGAACCACCAACCTTGGAGCATAACTCACTAAACCACCAATGCTCCCCTAGGCCTAGAGAGTAACTGTGAATTAAAATGAGTAAACTGAAATAATGGGGGCCCAGGCCACTTTTTAAATACAGCATTCTTGGTTTATCAAGACTGGGTTATTTTACTTATTTGTTTATTTTGACTTTGAGAAATACACATACTCTATCATCCTGTCATCCTTCCTTTTTTAACTTACCAAGGAATTAGTAAGGAGTTGCCAGGATTCAAAGCCATTATGTGTCACTCTCCAGATGCGAACAGTAACAAATATTATATGTAAGTGGCTTCAGAGAGTTTGTGGGAAATTTCCATTACTCTTCTACTTGAATTTCCACGAACTTTTTGAAGCCTCCTCTTCCATATACTGTTCTTTTTGGTAAACTTTTGCCAAAGTGATTTCTTATATTCTTTTTATAAACATGTATATGATAGATTAGACTTAAACCCTCACTTTTTCAGGCACTCTAGTACTTTTATTACACACATTAACTCACTAATGGCTTAGTACAATTTTAGGCAAAATATTATCATCATTTACAGCTGAGAAAACACACTGAGAAGTAGTCAAATGCCATGCCCAAGAACATGCATGGAATACATAGCAGGTTCTGCAGAATTTGGATTTAGGCCTGTCTCCTTCCAAATCTCCCTTCTCTTTAAAGTGACAGAAAAAGATTTCTAATTCTAATTTTAAATAGTTTTCTGGAGTAGTAATACTGAAATAACTAAGATAAAACATTTTAAACAAATACAGCAGTACAGCTTAAAAGGGAAAGAAACAAGCATTATAGTCAGCTTTCTTTAGCTTGAAAAAATTTCATAATCAATCATTCGATCCGGAAATGAAATCTAGCCTGATTGTTATTAAAAGTAATGTTCTTGTGGCATCACCCAGGCATGGCTGGTTTTTCTTGTTTTGGGTGTATGTATGTGTTGTGCCTGTTGAATAATCAAAATAGGTGTTTTAATTTCAGCTTTGTGAAATCCGGACAAGTACAGACAAGTGTGTGAACAAGTACTAAGTTCTTTAAGTTCCCTATACTTTTGAACATGATAATATTGAATTAGTTAGTAATAAAGATTTTTTAATTCCTTGGGTCTACTTACTAGTTAGTTATACACAACAGAAGTCAACAACTAGCTTTAAATTACAAGAATGTAATGTATTCAATTACATAAAATGACTTTCTGCATGTTTGTTAAATAGCTTATTTACAAAGATTAAATTAATTACTAAGAGTTTACTAAATGGCTATGGACGGCTACAAAAATTAACACTGAAGCTTTTATTAATCTTTTTTTAGGAATCCACTGTAATTTCAAAAATCTTTTTATCTAGGATAATAGAACTGACATCTTTTAAAAAATCATTTTATTGGGGTCTTGTATAGCTCTTATCACAATCCATATATCCATCCATCGTGTCAAGCACATCTGTTGCGATCATTTTCTTTTTTTATTATTATTAAATACTTTTATTAGGGGCGCTTACATCTCATCACAATCCATACATTCATCCATTGTGTCAAGCACATTTGTACATATGCTGCCATCATCATTTTCAAAGCATTTCTTTCTACTTGAACCCTCGATATCAGCTCATTTCCCCCCCCAGCCATCATTTTCTAAACATATTCATCATTTTCAAAACATTTTCTTTCTACTTGAGCCCTTAGTATCAGCTCATTTCCCGCTCCCTCTCTCCCCCTCCTGCCTTTCCCTCATAAACCCTTGATAATTTATTAATTTTTTTTTTCATGTCTTACACTGACCGATGTCTCCCTTCACCCACTTTTCTGTTATCTACTCACCTGGGAGGGGGTTATATGTAGATCATTGCGAAGAAATGACATTTATTATGAAATTAATCCTTACTATAAAAATGTTAATAAAAAGGGCATATTGTTACTTTAATTAAAACTTAAATTTCTATCACATCAAATTCTTTTAGAACTCATGTGTTACAAGTTAAAGTATTAAAAATTTTATATCTGTATTATTTTAATATTTACTCCAATTTCAGTTTTTAGACACAAACTATATTCGAAGATCTTTTAAAGAAATCCTTGGTCTCTTTTAGCTCCCCATTGCAACGGAAACAGTGAACCCTACCTTATGCTGTTCAATGGCATCTATCCACTGCTGTCTGTGATCTGGGTCTTGAGCACGAAGATACCAAACGCTATCATTTACGCTGATATCGAATCGACATTCATCAAAATCATGAGGCTATGGAGAAAAAAGGGAAAATGAAGAGCAAATCATTTCATATGAAGTGGCATGCCTGACCGCAAAAACAATTAGAAAAGCACTGTATGCTGGTGGGGAATCTTTAATAGTCTTTATTTTTCTACTCAAGGAACTTTTTTGAAGATGTCTCAAATAGAGAAAATAAGGACAGAGTGACCAAAATCAAGCTCCACTTACTACTCCTACAAAGGACTTGATAGATTATAAACATCTATTTTAAAAAGTTGCAGACTACTTTCCATCATTTCTTTGTCTTTGCTAGTGGGAACTACCTAATCACTAAACACCACAGAAAGCAAAATAAAAGAACAAAAAATCTTTAAATAGTAAGTTTTAGGAAAGACATTTATTCCTTTTCCCTTACCCCGTATTCAAAAGTAAATTCCATCATGAACAGTTCTATCTTATTAAATTTAATATTTAACAAAATATTTTTACATTTCACCACAGAATAATGTTAACATTTCCCCCCAAAGAATATAAAAAGAACGTCTTCGCTTTTACACGTATTTAATAGTAATAGCATCCAATGAAAAGCAAAACATAAAATGGATAGTATATAAGACCTACATTAGAAAGATGTAAGAAATCCCTCTATCAAAGTGTAAGTATTTAATGAAAACTTTAACGTTTTCATTCGGTGTTTTAAATTCTTCATAAATACATTTAAAAAATGAATGTTTTGTACCTTTGTCCCCAACTCTCCCAGCTTCCACCCAAAACTTTCCTTATTGGAAAGTATTTAAAAACAAATTAACATAGTGAATACAAGTCCAGTATAAATATCATTAATTCAAATAAATGCTATAAGCTGATCTCACGGGAGAGGAGCTAGAATTTGTATTACCCACCTAAAACTGAACATGAAAGCTCAATGGGCTTCCAGGGGTGCTGAAAGACACTCATGAACATGGGAAAATAATACTTTCTTTTTCAGGGCATACAAACTCTGGGATGGGAATCCTTCTAGACCTCACACTGTCTGACTCTTTGTTTATATCCTTTTACCAACAAGAAAGCTGTAATCCTAAGTACAAGTATAGCACTTTCTATAAGCTGTGAGTCATTCCAGTAAATTATCAAACCCACAACTGAAGGTGCTTGTTGTTGCTCAGTGACACTGATGACACCTGATCACACTTTTTGAGTTGTGTAAACATTTTCAACCCCCTTTACTGAGTTGTTCTTCATTAATATAAACTGACTTCCTTACAAGGTTCCTGTCTAATCTTTCAAGTTGCTGTTGTCAATATGATCCTATATAGAGAGTTCTTAGAAAAGCAGATTTTGCTTTCTACTATTTAAGTTAAAGTTTGTTTTCAGAAGACTTCTGAAACTATTTTTGGTTTAAGGTTTAAAGATCACCTCAGGGGGATTCCTCCTACTTTGTCTTTTAACAGTGCTTTAGCTATTTGGAGATTCTTGCCATTTCTCACAAAGCTGAGAACTGGTTTTTTTATTTCTGTAGGAAGACTGATGAAATTATGATGTTTGAATCGAATCTGATTGTACTGAATCTACATACTTCATTGGATAGTACTGACAACAATATTACATCATCTAATCAATGAACATGTGACATCTTTCCTTTATATTGATCTTCCTTAATCTCTTTCAGCAGTACTTTATGGCTTTTTTTTTAACTTTACAGTTTTCATTGTATTCGATTGTAGTCTGCCTTCCAGGTTTTCTTAATGCTGATGTACAGAAACTCAATTGGTATTTATTTATCACTTCACTTTTGAAAGAAACTTTCCTTGAACATAGGATTCTAGATTGGAAAGCACACACCCCTCAACCCCCCACATACTTCTTTCATCATATTCTAAGATGATGTTCCACTGTTGACTAGATTCTGTGATTCCTGATAGGAAACTCAAAAACCAAACTAGCTCCCATTGAGTCAATTCCAACATACAGTGAGCTGTTTAAGAGTAAAACTGCCCCTGTGGGTTTCCTGGGAGGATGTAACTCTTTATGGGAGTAAAGAGCCTCACCTTTCTCCTGCCTAGTGGTTGGTTGCTTTGAATTGCTGACCTTGTGGTTAGCAGTCTGATATATCAGGACTCCCTGTGATAAATGGATGGAAATTTTAACCACTGTATCCTAAGGTGGTATTCCCTCCCACCCACCCCTTTGATTACTTTCAAGGTTTTTAAATTTATCCCTGGTTTTCAGCAACTTGACTATGATATACTTAGGTTAGGTAAGGCTTCTTTCATTTTATCCTGCTTGAAATTTTCTGAGTTTCTTGAATTTAAAAATTATCTTTTACCAAATTTAGAATGTTTTTTACTATTCTGAAATTATCTTAGATACCTGAGGATAAAAAACAAAACTCAAAAACTCTTCTGTTTTTACAAATGATTTTTACTGAGCAGTCGTTAAAATTTTGATTATTTTCTGTTATCTATAGCTGCTATTGCTATTAAAATACATGTAGTGGTTTTTCTTTTTAGCTGTAGATATTATTCTACTCTGAAATTCTCACTGGGTCATTTTTATATTTCCTTTTTCATTGCTGAAATAATCATTTTTTCATCTATTAAAAGCATATTTTCTTAACTTCACTGCACATAGTTATTAAAGCACACACATACACACATACAAAGCCTTCCTGCTGTTGCCAAGTTGACTACAATTCATGGTGATCCCACCGTGTATTACAGAGAAGTGTCAGTAGCTGCTTTAAAACAGTTTTAGGATAAGTCTAACATCTGGCTCTTCTTGAGTTTGGCGGTCTGTCCCCCAATGGAATAAATTCTTGGCTTGATTCTGGATTGTAACCATGACATTATAAAGTATGAATGTTAGACTGTGATCTCTGAAATCAGTTATATGATTCTAAAAAAAATACTAGTTTTGTTTTAGAAGACTTAGACTAAAATTGTAAATCCTGCTATGTTTAATAAGTGTCAGCTAGAATATTTGTTTTCAGTCTGGCATGCACATATATAGATAAGAGGTCAGGCAACGATTCAGCAAAGTTTATATTCAGAATTTGGGCTTCCATTGCCTGACTTTTTGGGGGAGTATTATAACCTCACTGCATGGGTTTCTCCAGCTAAAGAGATGGGGTAGATTTTTTTAAAGTTTTTTTTTTTTTCTCACTTCCCTGAACCTCTTCCATAGTGAATAGTGACTCAGAAACACATGGTCCAGGAGCCAACAAGAAACCTGAGTAGAATCTTGTTGTTAAGTACCATTGATTCTGTACAACCCATAGTAAACTAACGCAAAACAGAAGGAAACATTGCATTGGCCTGCGCCATCTTTACAATTGTTCCTATAATTAAGCTGTTGCTACAGCTATGGTATGAGAATCTTATCTCTTTGAGGGTCTTCCTCTTTTTCATTGACCCTCCACTTTACCAAGCATAATGTCCTTGTCCAGGGACTGGCCTTTTCTGACAATATATCCAAAGTATATAAGATGAAGTCGTACAACATCCCTCACTGACCCATAACCCTCCGGAGGACAACACTGGAGACACAGTGCGAAAATTGCGCTTGTTCTGACCCCACCAGACTGAGGTAAAACACTGAGAGCATGAAACAAAATAGCAAGGGGAGCAGAGCAAGGAAGTCCCCAGGGAAAAT